TATATAATATATAAACTTTTTTGGGGGGTATTTGTTGTTGTTGTTGTTTGTCTGTTTGTTTAAGTAGAGGTTTTACGGCGTTCACAACTGCATCAGGTCAGATGAGCGCCAATATATATATTTAGAATCCCATTGCTGTACATGCACTGATTTTTATGGAATTTGATGCCTTGGAAATATTTGGAAAATGGTAATATTATAGAATATACGTCTTTAATAGAATATATGACGATATGCAATTTCCGTGACGCTTAGTTGCGAAAATTTTCGCGTAGCGGAATAATTTTCAGTGGAACCCCAGTCGCATATTATTATTGAGCGTGTCCATGGCTAAGTACCCTTTCCTGGCTTTCTGTTTTCAGTAGTTTTCCTTTTTACACATTTGGGTACCGCACTTGCCATTTGCACTAATGCTAACTTATGGAACTTTATTTTCTACAGTTCAGCTGAGTACCTAGTATGTTTATGTAGTTTTGTACGATAGCAAAAACAGTTTGAAGAACCCCTTTCTAATACTACGTATGAGTAAGGAAAAGAAGAGATGAGTTTTAAAAGTTTGATGCCATTTTCAGAAAAAAGGAAAAAGAAATCAAATTCGAAGCTGAGGCTCTTTATACTTTTGTTAGAAAAGATTTTTAAAACAAAATGCTACGGCTTCGAAATATAAAAGAAACTAATACATATTAGTCGTTTCAAAGTTTTGATAGTGCTCAAACTCAAGGCTTCTTTGAAATTTAAATTCAAAATGGGCCAATCCAACTAAATAACAAATGAGAGATAAAGTAGAGGATTTGCTTATTCTTTGTTCGTGTCGGGATTAGATCTAGTATTTAAACACTACAATGCCAAAATCTAAAATTAAAAACAAATTTGAATATGAAAGTGTGTACCCAGCTTAACTCTTGAATGTTTCGTTGGGATTTTTATTTTTGCTTTGTAAGCTTTCAGTTTGCAAGGCAATGATGATGAAGCTTTCAGTTATCCCATATGAGTAGACCAGGCTGTTTCTCTAAATTTCAACAATTGCTTAGAATGTTGGAAGAAAAAACAAACAACAACAGTAAAATTACTTAACGTTTAGTTCCTACAAAAAAGGTATTTCATTCTGCATATCGTAATATCCTTCTCCCCC